CTTATTACGATTAAAATAGAAGTTAGGAATTTGAATTCTTACAACTGAGCTCTACCACACGATCTAGAGTAAGAAGAAAGAGTGACAGTCCTAAATGCTCTGTAGCCTCCTGCTTATAAGTGTGGTGCACGACACACCCATAAACAAGACTCTACTGGACACGGCTTGTAGACTCCGTAGGACAGAACTGCTCTGATACTACTTTTGTCACGACCCAAACCGATGAGCCGCGATGGGCACCCGGTACCTTACTCAATCGAGTACCAACGTAACATAACTTTCATATTATTCTATCATAGGTAAATAAACCGGAGTAAAGCATGAGGGAATACAAACTTATACATATGAAATACGGGCCTATAAGGCCAAAATAACCACTCGTGTACTGAACATAGGCCGACAAGGCCATACAATCTTTTACGTACATGACATCTGTCTACAAGCCTCTACGAATACATAATTTTTATAAAGGTCAGAACAGAGTCCCGCCATACCAAACAATACTCGTCTAAATCATACTAACCAGTCAAGCAACTCCGAAGAAAATGGAGCGCACCAACATCTTCTGCTGAGCTGATAGCCTACTTGGAGGGCTCTCGACCTGTCTATCGGGACCTGCGGGCATGAAACGCAACGTCCCCAGGCAAAAAGTGATGTCAGTACGAATAATGTACCGAGTATGTAAGGCACATAAATAAGTACATAACAGACATGGAAGAAACATAGGGTAAATGACTCAACCTGTAAATCATGAAATACTTATAGTGTCATGCATATGCGTATGAATGCCATGTCGTGCATATGTACATGTGTTCATAACATCATCAAGCCTCTGAGGGCATCCCATCATATCATCTCGGCCACTGTGGTCAAATTATGAACGTATACCAGCTTATATATATATAATGCCATCTGGTCATGGGTCAATGTACATGTATAAATGCATGAAATGCATAAGAAATACATTAATAAGATTTTCTCGGAATGTCATAAAAATCCGTATGCATTTCGGATAAGCTTTATCAAATATATATTTATCTGAGACCCATGAACAGAATATATAATAATAATCCACATGGGGAATCAAGAATATAGACACCCCTAGTATTTCTATGAATAGAGTCATTTATGAAAGTTTCGTATTTTGCTCGTTTCATTTGTATCGTATGGATCATGCCAAAAGGAAAGAAGGGATAGCCTTAACATACCTGGAGTAGCGAAAAGTCTGTATGATATTCTTGGAAAAAGTTACACCGCACTCCCTTAGAATCGCAATATTTTACGTTGCTAAAGCTTTAACAATTCTCGTTGGATTGATTGAAGAATCACGTTACTAGAATCTGGTTTGTATTGAAAATAATCAATCAAGCGTGATTTTGGCTTCTTTCGTCTTCCTTTGCAACTCCAATTTCTGAATTCAATGGCACATAGTATAAAGATCCCACAGTGAAATTATTAGGATTAGCAATTCCATTGACAGTCTCAATATTATCCATACTAACCCCAAACCTACTTGACAAAGACTGTACGTACAGTATCCCCATCTCTCATCACATAACTCATGAGATAATTCCACATCCCACTTGAGCAACCACACATGAGCTTCAATGAAACCACTGCCCCTTTCTTTGCCTCCCTTGTAAAATTCGAGGGAAAATAAGCCAACCCATTATAGGCATCACGAACAATATTATACACAGATCCATTGTTTTTTCTAACATTAAATGTATAGTTTGTCAAGCGTACTTGTTAACCCCAGAAGCACAAGTACAGTCCTTTCTTATAAAAACATAACCTTTACCTTTGCCTTCAATAGTTATGTCATTAGGTAACACATCAAACATGCTTTGAATAACTGGTAGAGTCTCTTCTGGGCTGGGCTTAAAAGCCAAGAAAGAAGTGCACAAACGACCAGTGTCCGTACAGTTTAGTGGATGAATAATTATCTTGAAGATTTCCTAAAAACCTTATAAAGGAATCTTATTTGCACTTAATGTTAGAACGCAAATGAGGTTGCCACCTATACAAAAATGACTCTTAGTCATGAATTATGACTAAGAGTCATACGGTTGGTGTATTAGTTTGCTGCCACTTGCTATTTTGTTCTTATCCATCAGTGAATTAGTTTAATTAGGTAATATTCCATTATCCGGCAATTAATCAATTACTTGTATAATTGAGAATATTCTTACTTTTTTAAAGTATTACTCACTTTTCACATACCTTATACGTCTTACTATCATGGTGGTACCTTGTATGGTACTAATTCATAAATAACGGGTATTTTAGCTCGGGCAGTATTTTATTCCGAAATGCCAAATTTCAACAAAAGTCATTTTCTTCGACTTGCTTCCCCTTTCACCTTCACAATTTATTCATCACTTATAATCCTTATAATCTCCAAATAATCTTTTCCTTGGACTGATGTCAATTACCTTACGACAAATTCAACGTACAATACTACAGGGTGCAGCATCATCATAACTTAATACTGCGAAGTGTAACATCACCGTAATGTAATATTGCAGGGTGTAACACGGCTGCACGCCACAGCGATTATTATCAAGTATCTATCGAGCATGAGAGCTGAGTGTGAGAGCTGATTGATGATACTTAAGTCACGAGTGACTAAGAGGCTTGCCCGATGGGCTATATATATAGATATATGGGTGATACTTTTCCTGAGGGGCTTGTTTTTATGAAATTATTGTTTCCACTCTTCTTTGTACTGAGCCTCTATTGAAAATGTCGAATAAATATTTTTAATAACTTTCATTGAAACTCGAGTTTTTACTAGATGTTCAGAATTCAATCACTGATTTGATCTTGCTATTCCCACTGAGATTTTTATGTTATGATATGTATATGATTTTAAATGCTCGTCACACTCGGCCTTTATTTATATTTGTTACTTATTGAGTTGGCGTACTCACGTTACTCCCTGCACCTTGTGTGCAGATCCAGGTGCCAGAGCATTCGAGTGAGAGCCGTCTCTTGCCTTCAAAGCATTCTGTAGATTGCAAGGTAGCTGCATGGTCCGCAGCCATGCCTTTCTCCTTCCTATCTTTTAGTATTTGTTTTTATCAGACTCATCTTGTATTGAGTGGACAGTATCAGACTGTATTTTAATGGCTCATGACTAGTGACAACGAGATGGGGCAGTGTTTGATGTTTTGGCATATTTGTTTTCGCTCGTTTTGAAATGTTTAAATGAAAGAATTGTGAAAATATCTATATAGTAAATGAATTAAGAAAAAGATCTTTTATATTTTAAATGTTGAATTGGCTGGCCTAGTACTGCGATAGGCATCATCACGACGGGGGTAGTTTGGGATCGTGACACCAACAAAAACCGAAGCACACGTTCGCAAAAGGTAGATATTCTCACGGTAGGAATACGGTAGTTGCACTAAGGAAGAAAGCTAGGGATTTGATAAAAGTGATTGTTTAACCAAAAAATAGAATTTCAGTTAAAACTAGAAATTAAGAGAGAAAAAATCGGGTTACTGATAATCAGGAGACAAAAAGAATAAAGAATTTAGGATAATAATAAAGCAGTAAATAAGTTTGTATTTCAATGTAATCTCAATGATATTTCGTGTCCCACAGATGTTGTGACTTTCTCCTTTTATAGTTAATTCTAAGAGAAAGTGTAATGCCTTTGTCTTAATGAGGCAATTATGAGCAATAAATGACATTAAAAGAAACGTTACTCAATCATTCTTGTTAAATACAAATTCTCTAACGTATTTGGCATTTAATGTTGAATTTGGACTCTTTTACGCTATCAGATTCATGTCTTCAATTCCTTCTGATCTTCGAGCTTTAAATGACTCAAACAGGTACGAGTCTCGTTTCATCTGAATAATAGCTCGTGCCTTTAAGTATCTTCTCTCCCGCATCTGTTGTTGCTCGTGCCTTCTAACTGATTACCATGCTTTGACTATTTGACAGATCCACGTGTCATGACACGTCATCTTCAATATTTAAATTCAGTTTTTTCCCAATACAGTGATAGGACTGGGTTCCAAAAAAGCTCTTTTCATCATCAGAAAGAACCTGATTTCCGACCTCTTGCATTGCATTACCATAACAAAACGAAAAAGAATTAAAAAATGTAACGAGTTGAAGCCGAAGACGGATCAAGGTAGCTTGCCTGCCAAGCCGTTAGGGGAATGGCTGAAGGATGGAACGTGCACGTTCAGTAGGCTAGTTTCCATTTTCAATTGAGAAAACGGCGGGCCTAGTGAGTTCTCCAATAGTGCATCGTTCCCCCTTCCCTTGTGTTGTTGAAAAATATTCTATTCTTCACGTCAAATTGAAATAAGACGGCGTGTCACGTCGCCCTATCCATAGAGGAAGAAGGTGTATGCTCAAGTCTAAAATCTTTCGAACTAATCGTATAGTAAAGTTTGAGTGCCTCCCTTTTTTGATAATCTTGTCATGATCAAACTTTACATAATTGGACTCTTAATAAATGAAATGTGTCATCTAAATTGAAAAAAGGTATATATATATATATAAATTGAAAAAAAGTCTATATATATATATATATATATATATATATATATATATATATATATATATATATATATATATATATATATATATATANTATATATATATATATATATAAAATTTATTTATACTAGCTAGAAAAAGTAATTACATATAGTAAATCCGGCCGACGGTTTAAAGTTGAGGTAAATTTGTAAAGATATTAAAATAAGTAGAGAAGAAAGTTAGAAAACCACCACGTAAAAAAGGTAAAGTATAGACCGAAAAGATTAAAAAGCAAAAGAAATAGCAACTGACAACTCTCAAGAAAACAACAAAAGAGGGAAATGCCAAAAGGGAAAACAGACTTGAGACTTTCGAAGCCATCTCTCTGCTAAGATCAATTCCTCATGCAGAAGCTACACTCCTTCTCACCAACATGTGTCACTCCTTCTCCCACGCGTCCATTCTCCTCTCTCTTTATATTCACTCCCACCTTCTTCTCTCCCTCTCATATCTTCCACCTTCTCATTTACTATCATTCAATTCAATCTTTATTAATTAAAGAATCCGCCCTTCACCGCCGTCCATGGCTGAGCAACACCAGCGCCACCAGCAACAGCAGCAGCAGCAGATGCAAGTTGGCCACCCGACGGAGGCAATCAAGAGCCTTCTTCCTCAAAAGGGTCCCTCTAAATCCCAAGTCCTTGCTGTCGTCACTCTCTTCCCTGTTGGTGGGGCCCTCCTCTGCCTTGCTGGACTGACTCTCGCCGGAACTCTGATCGGGCTTGTTGTCGCTACGCCGGTGTTCTTGCTGTTCAGCCCGGTTTTGGTCCCGGCGGCCCTGACAATCGCGTTGGCCGTCACTGGATTCTTGACTTCCGGCGCCTTTGGAATCACGGCGCTGTCGTCGCTCTCGTGGATCATTAACTATATGAGGAGAATCAGAGGTCCAGTTGGAGAGCAGATGGAGCATGCAAAGCGGAGGGTGCAAGATACTGCTGGTCATATGGGACAGAGAGTCGGCCAGAAGATTCAAGAAACTGCTAGAACTTGATCAGCCGATCACATGCATGCAAGTACTCTGATCTAAATTCTAATGGTGCTGTAGTCAAAATGAGATAAAATCTGGAGTGTTTAATTTCCGTGTTTCTTCGATTAATATGTCCATGTATTCTATACTTTTGTGTCGTTTTTAATGCCTCCTTCTAAGTGTTTGCAGCATTTAGTTTTTCTGTGTAATAAAAGGGTGTTTTTTTTTTCAGCAGCTTAATTTTTTTTTTCGGGCTTTATAACCAAAGGTTATTTTGAATTCTGCGGTTCCACTAATTCACTCATTAGAGGAAAAATGATCTCTTTAATCAGGATTAATATTCTCTATTTTCATGTTCAAAAATCAATCCGAAGCCGAGACTCCAGCCAAGGGTTTAATTATTTCCTTCGGAATTTTCGAAATTCGAATGGTACCAAATGATTAACCACATATATAAATTGGAATGGAAGAAATTAAATAATAATTTTCTTCTATCGGATATTTTGTCACATTATTTTGAAATTTGAATGGTACAAACATAAATTGGAATTAGAATCTTAAAGGTATCACATAAATTAGGACTGAAAAAGTAAATATTTTTGTTCCATCCGGTGTTTTGTCACATTTTTTTTTTGTAGTAGTAAGAAAACTTATTGCAGGCTTACCCAGCAAGCAAAAAACCTTCTTAATTCTCCTCGTTGTAATTACAATAAAATGGCCGTTTCTTAATGCGAGCACTACTAAATTCCAGTTTTTTTTTGTAGTGAAGTGACCTCCTTAATTATCCTCTCTTAATTGTAATTTTAACAAAGTGGCCGATTAATGCAAGTTGGTGCAGTTCTGTAACGGTCAAACTAGTACATATATTACTCTCGTTCAGCTTTACTACTAGAAAGGCTACAACACAACTTTCATCGATGTTGAACTGGTACTTCAATTGAAAATGTTGAATTGCAACTTTGAAACGTCTCCGATATTTAGGGGGTAAGGAGCTCTTTTGTGCTAAAGAGCGTTACATTTCTTTATAGCGGTGAACTCTCTCGGTTCCTATTTACTTTATTTGTCATGTTCTTCAAATATTCCGCATTTTAAAAAATAAAAAATTATTAATGAGTTTTTTCTTAATTTTAATCTTAGCATTAATTGCTTGATCGAAGAATAAACTAAATTAAACAAATAACTTATATAGTAGTAATATTTTCTTAAAGAGGGTAGAAAGATTAACATGACAACTAAACTGAAAAAAGAGAACATTAAAGGGTGAATAAAGACTAACATGACAAGTAAAATGAAACAAAGACCAAATGGTTGCTTTTTACCATGAAAACAAAAATAGACAAAAACGAAAAGCATAAACTGGAAAACTTGCATCTTCAAATGTGAGTTCCTTTTAAATCGTTTTTTATTTAATAGTTGCCATTAAATTGAACACCTAGACATTATTATATAATTATTTGACGGAGACTACAAACGTTTTGTTTTTGTGGGCAAAATTAAAGGACCAAACCTGCTTAGAATATATTAAAGGACTATTTTAAACCTAATCCCAAACCTAAGGGACCATTTTAGGTATTTTCTCTTTTTCAGTACATATTTTTTTTCTACAACACGTACTTTCAAGTCACCTAATCCCAAAGCTAAAGGATCATCCTTGTTATTTTCTCTTGTACAATATATCTTTGTTTGTGTTGGGTTTTTTTGCTTAAAGAGGCGTGAATGAGAAATGAAGAAAAAAATTAAAAATTTAAATTTTTTTCCTTTATAATGAAATCTTGTCCCATATTGAAGGAATACTATATATATATATATATATATATATATATATATATATTTTTTTTTTTTCTATCTCTGAAAGAGTTTGAGAAAAAACCAGGCTCTCGTCGTCATTCCTCAGCTTTGGCTTGATTCAGGGGCAAATCCGCCTTGAAGGTTGGGGTGCTATGTCACTTGCCAGCTTGGTACTAATTTTATATATTTGTATTGAGATTTTCTAAAATATATCAAGTATATTAGCCTGTGCCAGTGTAATGACTGAGAACATGTTCTTTAAAGGTATTCTGTAAAGATTGGAGATGAAATTAAAGAGAGGAGGAATTTGGAAAGAACAAAAAGGGAAATAGGGTTACGAATTAGGAAAGAGGCGGAGATTACTAAGGGAGCTGAAATAATAAATGAACGGTGGAGATTAAAAGAGATCTGGGTTAATCCAAGGGCTGAGATTGAAGTCCAATCCAACTAAATAGTTAGTTGGGCCAGCCCAACTAATAAGTTTTTGGCCGGTGCTTTTCTAACTACTTTCTCTCTCGATCTCTCTTCTCTCTTCTCTTTCATTTCTCAATTCCGCCATTGATCTTCTTCTTTTTCTAATCCCTAACCTCATTTCAGGTTAATTCATTCTCACATTGGAGCTACAAACTTGAGAGACGTGCGCTATAATAGCTTGTTGTATTTCCTTCTAGCTGATTGTAATAAGGAACTCTCGATTGAAATCAATAAAGTTCAGTTTGGGTTTGATTTGATTTCTTTTTCTCTTAGTATTACAACTTGGTATCAGAGCCCATTCCTGGCCCAATGACGATTACAGAAACAAGAGCGAAAAGTACAGAAGAATCAATTAAGAAATTGGACGTACAATTTCAGAATTACATGGAATCTAATGATGCTAAAATGGAGGATTTAGCTAAGAAAATGGATCTTCTAATGGAGAAATTGATTCCCAATCAAGACGGGATTCTGGGGAGTGCACCAGGCCTTCAATTGGATGCTTCTGGAAGCAGGATCCACAGGAATGATCAGTTCGAGCAAGCTAGAGGCCAAAGGAGTAATCATCACGGCAAGTTTGAGTTTCCCTTCTTTGATGGAGTTGATCCCTGTTCGTGGTTGAGGAAGGGGGAGACATGCTTCCATTATAATCGAATCACTGACCCTGACGAGAAGCTGGAAATAGTTGTCCTGCATTTAACAGGTAAAGCTGAGGCATGGTTTTTCTCATATCATGTGAGTAAAGGCGTAATTAAGTGGCATGAGTTTACTGATGAAATTTGCAAAAGACTTGAAGGAGCTAGTAACAGTAAATTCAACTTAATTGGAGAATTCAAAAAAATAGAACAGAAGGGGACAGTAGAGGAATATTTGGAGATGTTTGAAGACTTGAAAGCATGGGTTCTGATAAGAAGTCCTACCATCCTAGAAGGTTTTTTCCTTGAATTTTTTGTAGAAGGTCTCAAGGAGGAGATAAGACACACAATTAAGATGCTTAATCCCTATACCCTAAGCCAAGCTGTGGATAAGGCTCGACATCAAGAGAGACTAATCCAAGCTCAGAATGGAAAGGAGAGAAACCAGTGGGGAAGGGGTACTACTACAGGGCCTAATCAAGGTAATGGAGTAATGATTAGGGGAACTAATTCTTCAGGGGGAGGCCTGGGTAACAAGCTCTTTGAATTAAGGAGGGCCCAAGAGATATGTTATAAATGTGGTGAGAAGTATCATGTTGGACACCAGTGTAAACCTAAACAGCTGAATGCTATATCTGCTTCAGTGAACTCGGCTGAAGAAGAACAGAGTGACGAAGTAGAAAGGGAAGTTAGGGAACTGGAAGAGATACCAGCAGAAGATATAATGGATGAAGCTATTAGCCTAAATGCATTGTCAGGCACTGAAGTTCCAAATACCATCAAGTTAAGGAGGGAAGCAAAAAAGAACAAGATCACTATCTTGCTAGATTCAGGGAGTACTCATAGCTTCCTAGATCTAAAAGACTGCTAGGAATATAGGGTGCCAAATTATTGAGGCAGTTCCTATGAGGGTGACTGTGGCAAATGGGAATCATATCACTAGCTTACATTCTTGTCCTAGATTCAAGTGGAGGATACAAGGAGTGGAATTTGAGAATGCTGTGAGGCTTATTAGATTGGGGGGGGGGGGGAAATGATATGATATTAGGAGGTGATTGGATGGAAGGGCATAACCCTGTACTCTTTGACTTCATTGAGTATAAGGTTCAGCTGACACACAAAGGTAAAAGAGTGGAGCTTAAGGCATTTACAGTCAGGGGGAATTGAAAAGCATGACAGCAATGGGAGTGAAACAACTATTGAGGAAGGGGCAAGCCATCTAGGCACATCTCTTCACACTTTCAGCCCAAGAAATACCAAGATCAGAAGAATTACCTGAAGAAATTTCTGAAGTTCTGACAGACTTCAAGGATGTCTTTGCTGAGCCTAAATCCCTTCCACCAAAAAGAGGTCATGATCACCACATCCCCCTGAAAAGCAATGCCAATCCAGTTAGCTTGAGGCCATACAGGTATAACTACTTTTAGAAGAATGAAATTGAAAAACAAGTTAATGAAATGCTGACTAGTGGTATAATACAACCCAGTCATTCTCCCTTCTCTTCCCCAGTATTATTGGTCAAAAAGAAAGATGGTAGTTGGAGATTTTGTATAGACTATAGGGAACTTAATAAGTTGACAGTGAAGGATAAGTTTCCTATTCCATTGGTAGATGACTTAATGGATGAATTAAGTGGTTCTTGTGTTTATACTAAAATTGATCTTAGGGCTGGGTATCATCAAATTAGAATGGGTGAGGAAGACATATATAAAACTGCTTTTAGAACACATTTGGGACACTATGAGTTTAGAGTCATGCTTTTTGGCCTAACTAATGCCCCTGCCACCTTCCAAAGTCTCATGAACCATATTGTTCAGCCATTTCTCAGAAAATTTGTGCTAGTTTTCTTTGATGATATTCTAGTCTATAGCCTAAACAACCATGTTCACACAGTTCACCTTAGAAAAGTCCTGGAGATCTTGAGAAGAGAGCAACTTTATGCTAAGCTATCTAAGTGCTCATTTGGGCAGAATAAAGTGGAATACTTGGGACACATTATTTCAGGAGAGGGTGTGGCTACTGACCCTTCTAAAATTGAGGCTATGGTTAATTGGCCTAGGCCAAAGACTATCAAACACCTAAGGGGTTTCTTGGGGCTTACAGGCTATTATAGGAGGTTTGTCAAGTCCTATGGAATTATCAGCAGACCTTTGACCAATCTCCTCAAGAAGAACTCCTTCCAATGGTCAGAAGAAGCAGAGATGGCTTTCCAACAACTCAAGACAGCCATGTCATCAACTCCAGTGTTAGCCCTAGCTGATTTCACCAAACCATTTATTATGAAAAGTGATGCTTGTTCCACTGGAATGGGAGCAGTACTATTACAGGAAGGTAGACCATTGGCATATTTCAGCAAAGCTTTATCACAGAACAACATGGGACTATCAACTTATGAGAAGGAGTATTTGGCTGTACTAACAGCAGTTGACAGATGGAGGCATTACCTGATGGGAGGGCATTTTATAATTAGGACAGATCATCAAAGCCTCAAATACTTACTAGAGCAAAAGATTACTACTGCCCTTCAGCAAAAAGGCCTCACCAAATTACTAGGTCTAGATTATGAAGTCCAGTACAAGAAGGGTACTGAAAATAGAGTTGCTGATGTCGATACCCACTTTTTCTCGCGAAATTGGATTTATGACATTTGGGCGGACAAGTCGTTTTCTTTTGGGAATTGGGTTCAGATTGAAGAGTCGCCACTTAGTGAAGTGCATTAGGACACTAAGAAGAACTTTGATTTAGAAAACTAGAGATTGGGTAAGGGCTTGAAATTATCCCGAGGGGAAGGTGTTAGGCACCCCTCGGGATCCACTAGTGTGGTTCCCGGCCATACTATAATCGTGACTTTAAGTGTAAACAACAAATAGACAGATAAGAGTTACAAATAAGAGGGGGTTTTCACATAATTGTTGTGAATGATTACAGTTAAACGAAGTTGGAGAAGTTGAAATTCGAGGGAAGAAGCAGTTTTAGAGATTTTGAACAAACGAGTAAAAAAGGGGAAATTTTCACATAGTTGTTACAAATTAAAAGTAATTAAAAGCTGAAGTCTGAGAAAAGCGGTTGAAATTCTGAAATAAAGTAAACAAATAAGGGAGGGGTCCTAGTTTTATACATAATATGGATCACCCCACACGACCCGGTTACCATTTATACACGTGGTGTTATTGCGTGGTCATCATATCCATATCTACCCTTTCCCACCCCATTAAGGTTTTAAACGCGGAATGGTCTCGTTTTACTTATTGCATGCTATTACCCGTCCCAAAATCCTATCAGCCCCGGAGGCATTTGGGACTACCAGGCCTCCTCAACTTAAAGACATATTGTTTAGCATGTCTTGCACATACTGGTTATGGTCTTAATTAAACTTAAAGGAAACGTGAGGCAGACAGATTTATTACATATTTCAGATAAGAAACCCGAATCAGACATGCCTGCTGGTTGGAATTTAACGAAGTATGATTCCATTAACTAATTCACCTTATGGCTTGCCTAGGTGAAACCTATAGGCATGATATCTAACAATGCAAGTGTGTACTAATTTTTTAAAGAAGAAGACTTGTTGGTTACAGAAGCATAAGTTCTGTGGATATTAAGCAATGCTATTTACTGATTTTAGACTTGTAGGCAAAATAGACGATTCAGACTTAGTTGATAGCTCCTATAGGCATGCTTTCTAGATGCTAAATGATTTTAAAGCGTTTACAGTCGAAATAAAAGTGCAGAAGTCCTATAGGCATGGTGTTTAGAGTGTTGTTTGTTATTTAAACCTATAAATACGTTTGCCTAGTGATAGATGCATATGCAGAATTCAGGAAGTCCTATAGCCATGTTATCTATGTGATATGCAGAAATGCGGAAACCTACAGACATGGTTTCTATATGAAATGCAGAAAACTATAGACATGGTTCTTATAAAATGCAGAAGTGTAGAAACTTATAGGCATTGTTTCTATATGAAAATGCAGAACCTATAAACAGGATTTCTATTTGAAATGCAGAACTGAAAGCAGGACATGATTGCAGAAGTGTATTAAGTTCCTATGAACATGATATCTACCCCTTTTGCATGCATGATGTAGCCTCCCATTTTCACTAAAAGCCCCAATAGTTATTACAAGATTATTACAACCCAGAATTGAATAAGAAAAAAAAGAAGTAAAATTACATCAGAAAAACTAGAAAAATTCCAACCAAGGAGAGCCTGATTCAGTCTTCTATCTAAAGCATGAAGTAAACCAACCCCAAAGATCATATTTCCAAAGCCTTTCTCTTATTTGGGATGAATCAGAGTTCCCTAAGAGTCTCAAGTGGACTCCGGGCAGTGCTTACACCCAAATACATTGCAGAATTGAATTATAGTGCAGTATGGAAGGGCCAGCCCTCAAATGTCCAAGTTCAGAGGGAGCTCAAGGTCCCAAAGCAAGGCTCATAGGAGGGGGGCAGAACTTAGAAGCTAGGAGAGAGTGTGAGTGCAATAGAGGGATTCTGGGGAAAGCCAAGACAGGCTGGTGGTCATACTCAGCAATTGGAGGTGCTGGCACACCCCGACCTACCTGTTTAGACACATTGTTTGGGAGTTAGGATCCCTTAAAGGATCT